CATTTCATTATACTCAGTTATATTGTATCATTACATTATCTTATCTTTACTATTATGTTATTATAGTATATTTTATTTCCCTATTTTCTTATCTAACCATTGAAAAAAACAAATCCCATATTTTATAATACTCTTTATCTTCTGGCTCTCTGATTTCTAATGCCAATTTACTCATTTCTGCACATTCCAATTATTTTCTTAATCACCTCCTCTTCTATCGGAATTTTCTTCACTTTTCCAGTTTTGAGCAAATACAATTCTAGCTGCTGTTAAAACATTTATAATTAAGTATGTCAATTCTCCATCATATCCTTCAGGTAAGATGCCCAATAAAAATATCTCTGGTTTCAAATCTAGATGCTGTTTTGTCATTTTTTCCAGCCACGTATGAATTTTAGTCCAGTATCTCTTGGCTTCCAAACACGTCCACCACCGAGTGACTTTTACATCACCATTGTAAAACTAGAAACGGTCACTAAATGAGACAGCTGCTAAGCGAGGACCACTTCTACATAGAGGCTACAGCGTTAGCAATGCAGCTGCAGGTTAAAAAGAAAAAAGAAATATAGGGAGTCCTCGGCTTATGACCGCAATGGAGCCCCCCAAAAACATTTCTGTCGCTAAGTGAGACAGACGTTAAGCAAGTTTTGCTCCGTTTTATGACCTTTCTTTCTTGCCACCGTTGTTAAACGAATCGTGGCAGTTGTTTAGCTGGAAAACCAGTCATGAAGTGAATCTGGCTTTCTCGTTGACTTGGTGGCCGCAAAAGAGGATCATGGGACACTGCGACTGTCGTAACTATGAGTCAGTTGTCCGAATTTTGAAGACGTGACCATGGAGATGCTGTGTTGTGAGTGTGAAAAATGACATACTTTACCTTTTTTCAGTGCTGGTGTAACTTTGATCCGTCACTATGAATGAATTGTAAGTCAAGGACTCCCTATAGGAACGTTGGAGAATCCATCCCTGTCAATCAGAACCAGGTTTCACCCAGTAAACCATTGTTTCTCAATCTTGGTTACTTGAAGATGAGAGAGCTTCAATTCCCATCTCAAAGCATGACTGGCTGAGAAATTCTGGGAGTTGGAGTCCCCCCATCTTAAACAAGCCATGGTTGAGAAACACTATTCTAACCCTAATAATGCTCCTTGGGACTGAAGGTCATGGTGTTTATTGGGCTATGCCATGGGACACCTTGTTGGGTCAATGATGGTCAAGACCCAAGTCCTTTCAACCACTTTATCTTGGTCAGTTGACCAGATGTTTAGTCTCATCAAATGTAGGAATGTCCAACTGGCCTTCAACTGTCATTCCAGAAGGGCCAAGCAATGCAGGAAGCTCTCTTTCTTGATGGCCATCAAATTTCGGAAGCCCAACTCAACAGAGAGATGAGTCCATTGGTTGGATAGTTTAGAAACCAAGATTCGGACAGAATGATAGCTAAGGTGGCGTTGACTTCTTGGGCCCCAACGAGAGAAGCTGTGGAGGACATTTTTTTGCCTTACCCACCTTTGTCCTCTTAAGATCTCAAGATCCTGCTTGGTCGGTTGCAGCTAATCCACAAATGAGATTACTTTCCCGTGAGGTTTTATGGAACAGAAGGCCGGATTCTTAGATATCCCTAATCCCCAAGTTTGCATCTCGGATGATCTGGATTAGCAGCTGATCCCAACTTGAGCCGTTAAGCGGACTTTGTCCTCCATGGGTGTCCTATAATAGGGGAGGAGAAGTCTTCCAGAAGGGTCCACACTGGTGTCCTGGGCTTGGGAGGATGTCCGAAGAAGATGACTTCTACATCTATGAAAACATCTCCTCCGTGAAGACCTGGGATGGTCCCCAGTATCACATCGCGCCCATGTGGGCCTTCCACTTCCAAACCATCTTCATGGGCCTTGTCTTCTTCGCCGGGACGCCCCTCAACGCCATCATCCTCTTTGTCACCATCAAGTACAAGAAGTTGAGGCAGCCGCTCAACTACATCTTGGTCAACATCTCCTTCGCCGGACTTATCTTCTGTGTCTTTGCGGTTTTCGTGGTCTTCTTGTCCAGCTCCCAAGGTTATTTCTTCTTTGGACGTCAAGTCTGCAAGTTGGAGGCCTTCCTAGGCACAGTGGCAGGTAAGTACAAGGACTGGGAAAGAACCAGGGGGTTGTTCTCAACCTTGGTCATCGGAGTGGACTTCAACTCCCAGGAGACCCCAGCCCCTTGTTTTAAGAGGTGTGGCCATCAGGGCTAGCTGGAGAATCCTGGGAGTTAAAGTCCCACTTTCATTGAATGTTCAGGGCAATGTTTCCCAATCTTGGCCATTTTATAAAAAGCGTAGACTTCAACTCCCAGAATTCTCCACCTCTTAAAGCAAGCTGGCCGGGAAATCTTGGGAGTTGAAGTCCACCCTGCTGAAAACGACCCAGGTTGAGAAACAGCGTGTCAGTGTTCCAGCAAACCTCCATTCCAAATCAATAACTCCGAGACAGACATATCTCAAAGTGTTCTGACCCAAACCTGGTTCCAAGGAAGCAAACATGAAACGGAGGTAACAGCACAACCTTTTAATGTTTCTTTACGAATCCCGTTCCTTCCCGGGTAAAAAAGGCTGTTTCAAACTAATTGTCTTTGATAAGAACGAGCCTTGCCAGGCTTTGGCAAGGCTGCCAAGAACACGAGATAAAGTTACTAAGCAATCATTCCAACACATAGAGTCTCCAAACACCAACTCAGATATTCTGAACGTCCACCAGGCTCGAGTGTAAAACTTCTTTGCTTCCTGAAAAGAATTGCAGTCTCTCAGGCTGGCTTTTATCCCTGAAGGGAGTGGCCATTATCTTGCAGCTTTACTCCAGAGTCATCCGTGCTGCAGCAGCTGCTCTTTCCTTCGAGCAGCCCTGTGTGAACGCACACTGGGCCCAGGCTCCTCGGGGGCCTCTTCCTCACTGCTGCCAGCCTCCACCACCTCCGAAGGCAGCACCCCACTTCCTGATGGTCCTGGCCCCATCCCTGCATCACACGCAGGCCCCTCATCTGAGTCCTCGCTCTCCGAGACCTCAGCCGTCTGCACCTGCTGCCGGCGAACCGCAACACAAAGGTATCTTTATTTGGATAGTAAACTGGTACATCAGTGGAATCCCGAATCTAAAAGTTTTCGGCTTCCTTGCAATATTCAAAACTATAAATCCATCCCTCCTCTTGGCCATCATCACATCACATGGGCCAATCATGATCCGTCCTAAAGTAAGATCCTTATTTCATTCTGTGCCTTACTCCGTGACCTTGAGCTAACAAAAGAGTTTTATTTTGTCTACTTAGAGCTACTCAATTGAATCTCCCCCCCCCTCCCACTTTCTCAGGCTTGTGGCAGCGTGGGAGCATCTAATCTCAGTATGGCTTCCAAAGCTGACACAGTGGTTGAGTGGATTTTCCAGCCATCCAATCAAGGCTGATGTTCGCAGATGGGTCAACCTGTGGTCTCCTTCAGATCCAGCCAAGGAGCAGATGACGGAAAGTCGTAATCTAGGGCATTTGAGGTGGATCCAGTCCTCTTGGAGGTTATCCAACACTTCTCAAACATTGGGTGAAAGCCCATGTGAACAATATAATGCAGGGGTCATCAAACATGGCCAGTTTAAGACTGGCGAACTTCCACTCCCAGAATTTCCCAGCTGGGAAAATTTTGGTTGAAGTCCACAAGTCACACATTTGAAGTAGTGTGTCTTGTTCCTCAGATCAGAATATATTAACTAAGGGACATTTGATAGTGCAGCCAATGCAGGAGTCCATCAATCATTCCCCCCCGCATCTATCTATCTATCTATCTATCTATCTATCTATCTATCATCTATCTATCTATCTATCTATCTATCTATCTATCTCTATCTATCTCTATCTATCTATCATCCATTCTATCTATCTATATCTATCTCTATCTATCTATCTATCTATCTATCTATCTATCTATCTATCTATCTATCTATCTATCATCCATTCTATCTATCTATCTCTATCTATCTCTATTTATCTCTATATATATCTATCTGTCTATCTGTCTATCTGTCTATCTGTCTATCTATCTATCTATCTATCTATCTATCTATCTATCTATCTATCTATC